CCATCCAGCCTGGCCTTGAACACTGCCAGGGATGGGACATTTCCACTAATTACTGCAATGTTCTTTGATAAAACAGATTAAAAAAAAAAAAAAAAAATCTCAAATTTCTGCATTTACTTGCTCATATATTTGACATGTCATTACAATTTTCATTGTTTCATCATGCCTTTGTATTTGTGAAAGTAGGAAAATGTGGCTATTAAACACACATTGCTAAGGGGAATCAGAGGCAGTCAGACTACTCATTCTTCTCATTCTGTTTCTATAGACACATACACACCCTTACTTATCACACATGTACAATCACATACATAATCAAAGACATTTAAAACAGACTGTTCTTCTAAAATAGTTTTTGGAAATCAAACACCACATAATAAGGCAGGAAAGAATCCACATCAGCTCTTTGCAACACGTATGTTTTCAAAACAACACCTATGTATTTTAGTTGCAAAAGTGGCTGGGTGGGAAATCCATACACAACAATACCAGGCATGCCCCTTTGTCATCTAAGTGTTCTCTTTCCTACTGAAAATTTCTGCAAAATAGTGTCAGAACTGATGCTGGGAGAATACCCTGGAGATGATCCAACCAGATTTCTGAGTTCCAGCAGAGTCCTATTTCTCACATTTGACAACTAGTCTCAAGTCATAAAAATCAACAAGCTAACTCTGGTAAGAGGACACTTTAAAAAATACAACTTATTTTCCCATTATTTGTTACTGAACAACGAGCATGTTGTACCCAAACTGCACAAAGAGGAAGAATATGACTGCAGCAATGTGACAACTAGTAACGCTGCATGTAGACAGCTCGTTCTGCACACAAAGGCAGCAAGGTGACGGATGGCTGTCTCCTACACAGTTTTCAGCCAAACAAGACATCATCATCAGAACTAGTGCTTCCCACATCTAATGGCAGACTCTACTGCTAGATGCAGAACCAAAGCCAGGACATAACCGAGGCCAACTGCATGTGAGAAACTAAACAAAAAAGCAAGCAATAAGCAATTTACAAAGTTGGTTGGTGGTTTCCCTTTTTTCTGGGCCATTTTTATTTCCTCCAGGCAGTAAGAAGCAATTACTACTTTTTCCAAAACTGTTTTCCCAGAAGATAATTGCACAATTTAGTAAGTACCTGATTCTAGATAAAGCTTATTTCTTAGTATACGAACACAGACTTTTAGCAGCTGTTTCCCAGAGTATTGTAAGAACCAACCAAACAAAAAATATACGCCAGTAACACTACTAAGCTGGTTTTTGTGAAGGACTATAACCATTACTGGATGGTAGTTTCTGGTGCCAAATACCCACATCAGCTGCCGACTTGCAGGTTGACATGCCCATAACCATTTCTCATTCCACTGCTTCAAGGTAGCTTCAACTAATTCCTTCAATATTATTGTCTAAAGCCATTAACACCACTGCAGACACATTATCAAGTCATACCCAAACAAGGTTGTATGCAGGTGAAAATGCCTACAGCATACATATGTAAAAATTAAACACTACACAACTTCCTAGTGCAACTGAGAAATGCCCACATGGTAACTAGCAGTCTCAATTATATGAGTAACCAGCTATGGTTAGTTACAAAGCCTTGTAATAAAATGTGACAGACTTCAGATGCCAGCTTCCCTTACACGTCTTAAGATTGAAACACGCTGGGAAAATGGTGTGGTTTATTAAATCTGTCGATCAAGTGAACTGAATAGATTGGCATAGAATAAATGAAAAGAGCTGTAGTAACAACGCTCTTTTGATCTGCCAGTTTTGTCTGAAATCCAATGCTGCTTTACACCAAAAATATTACTAATAAAACCAAACATCATTCTTTTTCTGACTTTGAAGAACTAATGCAAAAGAACCTGACAACTTGTTTAACATTCCTAAAATAAAATTGGTTATTTCAGACACCAAAAACATTCAAAACATGAATTCTCAAGCATATGCCTTGTCCATTTTAACGCTTACATTACATTTAATAATGAGTTCTATATAAACTATATAATTTCATCTTTCTCTACGCACTCTACCGTTCTTATTATAACAACTGTGATCACCACATCCTTTTTGTACTTGCATTCCCAAAGCTAGCTGCTGCAGCATATGAAGGTTGCTCAGCAGCACATTTGGTTCATAGTTCCCATATGCCATAGAGTATGCAGACATGCTACAAGCCTATTCTAATCACCTCACGACTCATCTTAGTAAAATTAGATACAAAGTAATTCAGGTATCTGAAAACACAAGCCAAGGTCAGAAATGTTGATATCTTAACTTCTTATAATTGTTTTACGTTAAAAATTTATCAGATATATACACAGCTAGAAGGTATCAGTTTGCATGTGTGTTTTTAATAGGTTTGGAAAGCAGTGAAAGGAGTGAATATGAAACAAACATATGGGCATCAAAAAATAATTCTTTTATTTCAGTTGGTCATTATGAACGTCAAGATGGTTTTAGATGACACCAATTACAAAGATTGCAGTTAGAGTATCTACCTCAATTTACCTGGATTTACCTCAATTTAGGAAAGGTCATGTTCTGGCCTAATTGAAATCAAAATCATAACTGGAATATTGAGTATCTGATAATCTTCTGTTAAACAGAACACCCATCTGCACCCTGTTTTCTAAAATTTGGCAGAAATGGCTTCACACAAGCTGGTACATAGCTGCTTTCATGAACATGTCAGAAAATTTGAAAACAGATAAATATGTTCCAGTATCTGAAAGGGGCCTACAAGGATGCTGGGGAGGGACTCTTCATTAGGGACTCTAGTGGTAGGACAAAGGGTAATGGGTTTAAACTTAGACAGGGGAAGTTTAGGTTAGATATAAGGAAGAAGTTCTTCACAGTGAGGGTGATGAGGCACTGAAACAGGTTGCCCAAGGAAGTTGTGAATGCTCCAAACCTGGAGGAGTTTAAGGCCAGGCTGGACAGAGCCTTGGGCAACATAGTTTAGTGTGTGGTGTCCCTGCTCATGGCAGGGGGGTTGGAACTAGATGATCTTAAGGTCCTTTCCAACCCTAACTATTCTATGATTCTATGATTCTATGATTCTATATACATGTGTATGCCCCAAACATCAAAACTGAATTAAAATGCAAAAATGATCATTAGGAACTCGTTTTTTTGTAATAAAGCGTTGATTGTGAACACTGGGAAAACAGTAAAATTTATGTTATTCTCTTGTCAGCAGGAGTCTGAAACAGGAAGCCACAAAAGGCACAGTACAACCATACAAGATGAAATTGTATCAATTATCTTCAGTCTCTTAATCTACATTCTACCTATATTTCTAGAGTATTTTAGAATCCCATTTTACTTATTATCGTAGTCACTCATAGCTGTAGTGTTGCCAAACAGTACTCGTAAAGCCGTGAAAACAGGCACATTCTAAACCATTTTGCTTAAACATACGATCACTGAACTCTTGAGTTGTTTCAGAAAATCGTTTTAGACCAACCAGGAGAAGGTTAAGGAAGTTAATTTCTATTAACTAACAAGAGTTTTTAAACCAGTAGAGTGCTGAGACACTGGTAAGTGGAATGTCATCCGACCAGAATGTGCTTTTTTTAGTAGTTCATTTCTGGTGCCAAACCTTTAACAAGGCAGGCTTCTTAAATTGAGTGGGGTCAGAAGTTTAGTTATTCAGCAAGAATAACACTATTAACAGCTACTGCTCTTTCATGTCAACACAGTTAGCACCCACACGTTCCAGCTCTGTTTAAAACAGGCCAGTCAAGGAAGACTGGAGCTGCTAAGGGCAGTCATCTCTGCAGTGATATTTTTAAACAGAATTTATACTGTGCTTTAGAAACAATCTAAAAGGATCAATCTACCTTATGAATCTGCTGTAGACATACACAGAGAGAAAGATGGATGGATGAAAGCATATAAAAGCAAGTAAATCTGACTCTCTCTATTGATTTTTGAGAGGACAACATAGAGCACTTTGGTGAGGTCTTATATATCACTGTAAAGGACCAAATGCCATTGCGTGTATTTCTGAAGGATGTCAGGATTTCTCATGAAGCAATGCACTGTTGTATTCTTTCATTATATCCCTTTGTAAACAATCTTGTTTTCTCTGTTGAAGGAGGTAGGTCACTAAAAATTAAATAATCCTCAAAACAAACATAAGAACAATCAAAGGAAGACTCTCAAGCAGCTGTTACTAGAGAAATCCAATATTACTAAAGCAAAAATTGCAAAAGTTTAGTGTACACATGCAGTATTTTTAGCATTACCCGGAGAAAGCTGGTATTTTAATAATGAACTTGTGAAAACCAAAATGGCAAAATCTGCGTATCACAGCATAATCCCCTTCCTACTTACTTTGTTCTAAATCATAGCAAATCAACGTTTAATATTCCCCAAAGCTCTCCAGCACTCCTACTTGGCCTTCAAAGGATATTAATGAAAACGCTCTGGTTTAGATAGCACTTCTTCACCAGATGGAACACTTCAAGCAAGAATGCTTTCCTCTTAAGGCATGTTTCAAACAACCAAAATGCAAACAATAGACATATCAAACTGAATTTCTGCAGGGTCTCAGAGACTTCTATTTTATGTAATAGTGACATTTTTTTATCACAGTGTCTGAATTTCAAAATACTCAGCTTTCAAAGTTTTAATCTAAACTATTCATATATCCACTCCTATCACATATACTTCCCTCATTTATGCTATTCTATTAGCATAAATTCTATTCTACTTCTCCATATGCTTTTTCTCAATATAGTAATCGGAAACAATTCTGTTTTAACTGGGGCTGCCTGGTAGGTCATTTCGAAAATATAGTTGCTTAAATAGTGAAAAAACTGACTTTTTTTTTTTAATAAAAACTCACTAATTGAACTACAAAGCTGCGCTGCTATTGTTCATGATTGCCTGCCGACAGACTATCAAGTCCTTAGCACCATGGCAGATAGAACAAAGTCTCCTCCTCATTAACATATCTCACAAAAAAATCTAATGGAAAAAACAATTTACCTTCTTCAGTTTCATGCCACACAATTCCTTCCAGGTTCACACTGGTCCCGGGCTCACAGGGTCCAAGGCATTCAGGTTCTGTCACTACTCCAACCTCACAAGTATTTACACCCACTGAACGAGTCCGTACCAAAAGCTGCTCGACTGGTGCTGCAATATTGGATGAAGATGGAGAAAAGTAGGAAGGCAGAATCTGAGGTGTGATACTGCTGGAAATCGGAGGTGGAGGTGCAGGTACTGTAAACAGGGTATCAACCTGAAAACAACAGACAAACTTACTATAATGGTGCTGTCAGATTTAAAACAACACAAAACAAAAAGAAAGAAACAAATAAATACATTAGGAAGATTAAAAAAAAAAAAAAAAAGCCCAGTTTGCTGAGATCGCATTTGCGTATGCAGGGATTTTGTGTATCATGGGTAATTTCAGTCTTACAGGTTTATTTTTTTTGACATCAGCCCAATTGCTGCACATGAAAAATTAACTACAAAAATACCTATCATGCTAAACAGGGCAAATTGCTAAGTTTCTACAAGACTATTCCCTGTTGTCATAGACCACTAGTATGAAATAATAATACATTTTAAAAACAAGGATTAAGGCCACTTTTTTCTTGGCACTGACAGAGACTGATTTATGGATGGAAATTAATTTTGCAAACTGGGAACTTCATTTTCTATTTAAAGAAAAACATTTATAAAGACAGTACAAAGATATATAAATGCCATTTTTTCATGTGCATCACAGAGAAATTAGCACTTGGAACAATTATAATATGCATATGGCATCCAATATAATCTCTTGTTATCCAATCATTTAAAATACATTAGGATCACCCACCGAACAGCTTACAGGTAACATTTACATCTTTCTACTTGAAATAACAGATGAGAACTTTTACAAGAATACATCCAAACACCTTATTTCTCAGGGTTTTCAAACTGCATTTTTGGAAGAATTTAACTCACCAGACAATCGGTTTGTACACAGACAACTCACATAGAGACAGTATCTATATACGAACTGAAGAGGTTATCTTTCCCATATGACTTCCAATATACCCAGAATATCTGCTGCATACAATTTGGCCTGAGGCTTCTCGGGCATTTTACTGTGGCCATAAGGTTCTTTGTCACATAAAAGATAGCTAAATGAGGGTATGAGTGTGCCCACTCAGATAGCTCAACCACTTAAAATTCATGTTTATTTGGCCCACTGGATTATAGATGTCACACCAAGAAATCATTCGTCAATCCAATGATTTTTTTTAAATGGCCACTTTCTAGCTCCTTTCAAAGAGATGATCAAATGTCTTTAAATCTATGCTGTTTATAATTTTGGACCCCCTAAGAAGACTCACCAGAAAAGACATAACGACTGACTGTATGTTCTCATATAGGTTTTGTTCAAATGCATCTTAATGTAGACCAAAGTTAATTCTGCTTTGTTTTAAAGCCAAATTGGCAAATGGGGATACAAACATATGAGTATTATTCTTCTATTATATATCCTTTGTATCACAGATCAGCTCACTTCATCACACAACCACTTTTCATAAAATGGAAATATAAAATTAAAGATAACTTTTTAAAAATGTTCACAGTTCTTCGGCTTTGAGCATTATTCATACATACAAACTAAGAGCCAACATTTTGCGCACACAAGCTGTAAGTGTGCTAAATGAGTTAAAAAAAAAAAGTTTTGTGTGGTCTTTGTATGACCAGCCTGGATTCTGATCTCAATTACACTAGGACTAGGGAAGAAAGAGGAAGGACCTATAACCGCATTCTTCTCCAAACTCCTCGTCATTTGGTGGAGGTTCTTTTTATTTAGGACTAAAATAATCTTCAGGTTAGAGACAGAACAAGGTGGGGAAAAAAATCAAAGTAAAACTTGAATACTAAAAGCATATATTAGAAGTAAAAAACTGCTAATACCAGTAAACTCTACTGAGTCTACTGACACAGAGCTCCTGTGTCATAAAAAAAATGCAGTCAAGCAATGATACCTTGATTATTCTCTTTATGCTGTCGCAATTGCAGGGTTAAAGCACAGGCAAGAACGCTTTGCAGAGCAGGCTTGAATGCACACAGGCAAGTCAAATATCAACTGACCCCAACAGCAGCTGTTACTTGTAATTTTTAATAGTAAGCATGACATAAAATCATAACCATGTATGCCTAGAATGGAGGGATATGGATGCTACACGATACAGATTCTGTCTGTCTGATGCCAAGTGGAGGCAAACAGTTGGATGGCATACAGCCCTGCTCCTTGGCGCGGGCTGCATAATGGGGCTCTTACAATGAAACGGGGTCAACATGTACCCCAGGCTTAATTCTGAGGAGTTCTTAACGTATCTTACTTCAAGCTAGAATAGAATCAGGAACTGGCAGGTAAATGGAGCCTACTGCTTAAGAAAAGCTAAGCCACACCCCTTTATAGAACCATGAAATGGTGATGTTTGATAGTTTACATGCTGTTTTGTAAAGCTGTGTAAACCATTTTGTAAATCTGTGTAAAACCTCCTACTACACATGCAACATTATTCTTCCATAAAATATACTCATGACGAAGCCAGAAAAAAACCCAAAATGTTTGCTATTATCATAGTAAACTAGCCAATGTTTTAAATGAATGTAGACTGCATTGGCAGATGCGTCTTCCATTTTCCCAGTATTATAAACAGTAAGGGGGAGCTAAAGAAAGCACAGATTTGACAGTGTACCCTACTAAGTTCTTTGTTGCAAATATTTGTACTCAGTTCTGGTTTATTTAGACCTACTAATAAATTTTCATGTTTTCCATGAAACACAGAGGACATGGCCAGAGAGTGACTACTGCAGTAAAAAGTGCTGTTGCTCTGTGAATTAAAACACTATCACTTTGGTAGAAAATTAAGTAGACATTTACTGCCACTGAGCTTCACATTCGTTCCACGAATACAACTTCACTCATTAGAAAAAAACATGCTAAGCTTAAATATTGCTCCAGTTTTCCATGTTTTAAAATTATCCTGTCTTGTTTGATAATCGTAACGGCAGCACAGCAAAGAGGTGGTTCTCAGCGATCACTGTAGTGACACAGTTGTTTTCATGAATTCTCCAAAGGGCACTGATGTAAGCTATTAGAGGCAAAGAGAGGCAGGAAGGCTGCCATCTCCAGTGGAAAAAAAGGCACATAAGACTAACATCTGGTGGTGGCAGTCTGTCAAACTGAGGAAAGTTAATGTCAAGAACAGATGCTCTGCAGTTTCTCACTGTTATTTTTGCATGATTATTCCCAGGTGTTGGCGCATACTGAGCAGTAGTCTTGCTGTTTATCACATGAGAGATTCCAGTATGAGATTGAAAATCTGAATCGAGGAAGGTTATTTACATAGATGCTTTCTTTATACACATAATCAAAGAGCTCCAAAAAAGACAGAAATATTCAAGCAATATTTTCTTCATTCACCTAATTCCAAGAGCCTTTGAGAGCTGATTAGTGACAAAGGCTGAAAAGCTGGAGTGTTTTTCATGGCAGCTTTCCACTGCCAAGTGTTTGATTGTATCACAGAGCTATGGCTCTTAGCAGTAGAAAGCTCTCAGAACATTAAGAATGACTGCCAAGTAATGTAGTGAGTGCTCCATGGGTATCTCCTCTATCTGAACATGAAAAATAAATAAATAAATACATAAATTTGGTGGCTGTGTAACATTAGTCACTATGAAGAAAAGCATATGGAAGAGAGAGGACATATTATCAAGATTTTCTAATAAGCAGAGTTCTCCCTCAGTTATGCAGGCACTTCACACACTGGAATTAAGTTCTGCTCATCTTCCTGATGCAGTGTAAGCTTCTAAAGTTAGGTCTGAAAATTAACATTTTGTGTCCTTTGTACACAACTTCCTGACAACCAGGAGAGAATCCAGTGTGTAATGCTGAGCTCACGGAAGAATGTACACAGAATTGAGGGGACTTTCCAAGTCAGAAAGTGCCCAACTTCATACTACTGCAACCACCCATATCATATTCCCATTCCTGCAGGAACGGGACAATTTTACGTCTTTATGGGGTAGAATCTCTCACATACTCCTGTAGCAAACTCATCTGAATGAAAGAAGAGCAAGATACCAGAACATATATGGCCCTATTTGACATGATACTCATTTGACAGAAGCCGATTTACAGTAGTATTCAAAATAAAATAACTTTTCAGAGAGATTTAAACATTTAACTTTTAATCATAGTATTAAGTGGAAGTATTCTGTATCAATGTATTTCATTCATTTCATTCAGAGGGTGTGTATCTTTAGTGTGAAATGTTTCTGTCATAATTGACAAAATGTAAGCTAGAAAATAGCTGCTGTGCAGGCAGGCCATGTGATGTGACCCATCAAAGTATGCTATCACGTACATAACTATGAATGTATGTGCAGTTCCACCTCATTAATGGAGGTGTATCTTTGAAGGCATGTCTCAATGATGACATAGTCTACCAAATGGAGTCAAACGCTACTGCAGTGTCACCTACTAGGTGATTTTGAAATGTACATGCCAGAAGCCATTTAATCCATCTACCAATATACAGCCTGGAGATAGGTAGAGAAGCAGGTTCAAGGCTTGGGATAAGCCCTTCCAAAAAAGCACTGCTTTATAAATTGAGAAGAAATATACTGTAAACATTCCCAGTGGGAAAGTATGCACTAGTAGAATGAATGTGGAAAGAAGATCTGAATCCCACTACAGAATATACCTAAAAAATCAAAGCCTGACCCTTTGCAAAACTAAATCCTTCCTTAAAAAAGACACCAATATAAAGACTGAAAGGAATAAGAAACCTCCAACCTTGAAAATGTCATTGACAAGTTCTTAAGAGTTATGAATTAATACTTCACAGACTCACTATGTCTGAAATGAAAAACAAGAAATAAAGGAATTGAATCATATACGGAAGTTTTGCTTTCTTTAGATTTTTCTAGATAAGGTGAAAAGGAGATTGTTCTGTTTTTACATAAAGTATGCTTGTCCCTATGTTAATTTTCTAAAGCAATAGTGACCCCAGAAGACCTCACTCTAATCTCATGCACAGCATCATAAATCAGAATTAATTCTAACAAAATCAATGAAACAACTTTGAAAGAAAACGGATGTGGGAGAATGTAACATGGAAAAAACGTTTGTATGCTCAGGAGTGTGTCTGCATTTCTAGACATCTCATTGATGTTTAAAACTTTTCTTGTTACAAACCTTGCTCCACAAAGAATTTGTGT